AACAGACAGAGAAAGAGAGAAAGAGAGATCAAACAGATAAAGCATGATTAAACAAGACAGAGAAAGAGAGAAAGATAGATAATAGATAAACAGACATAGAAAGAGAGAAATAGAGATCAAAGTAAACAGACAGAGAAGAGAGAAAGAGAGTCAAAACAAAAAAAGATAAAGCAGACAGAGAAAGAGAGAAAGAGAGATCACAGATAAACAGACAGAGAAAGAGAGGAAATGAGAGATCACCAGATAAAACAGACAGAGAAAGAGAGAAGAATAAATCAATAGATAAACAGAACAGAGAAAGAGAGAAAGAGAGATCAACAGATAAACAGACGGGAGAGAAAGGAGAGAAAGAGAAATCAACAAGATAAACAACAGAAAAGAGATAAGAGAATCAACAGAATAAACAGACAGAGAAAGAAAAGAAAAAGAGAAATCAATGATAAACATGACAGTAGAAAGAGAATAAAGATAAATCAATAGATAACAACAGAGAAAGAGAAAGAGAGATCAATAGATACAGAGAGAGAGAAAGAGAGATAAACAGAATAAACAAGAACAGAGAAAGAGAGAAAGAGAGAATCAACAGATAAACAGACAGAGAAGAGAGTAAGAGAGATCCAATAGATAAACAGGAAGAGAAGAAAGAGAGGATCAATAGATAAACAGACAGATAAAGAAAGAAAGAGAAATCAACATAATAAACAGACAGAAGAAAGGAGAAGAGAAATCAATCAGATAACATACAGGAAAAGAAGGAAAGAGAGATCAACAGATAACAGACAGAGAAAGAGAGAAAGAATCAATAGAATAACAGACAGAGAAAGAGAGACAGAGAGATCAATTAGATAAAACAGACAGAGAAAGCAGAAGAAAGAAGATCAACGATAAACGAGACAATAGAAAGAGAGAAAGAGATCACAGATAAACAGACAGAGAAAGAGAAGAAAGAGAAGATCAACAGAATAACAGACGAGAAAATAGCAAGAGAGATCACTAGAAAACAGACAGAGAAGAGAGAAGAGAGATCAACAGATAAACAGACAGAGAAAGAGAGAAAGAGAGATCACTATATTAAACAACAGAGAAATAGAGAAAGAAGAGGCAACAGATAAACAGACAAGAGAAAGAGAGAAATAGAGATCAATAGATAAACAAGAGAAAGAGAGAAAGAGAGATCAATATATAAACAGACAGAGAAAAGAGAGAAAGAAGAAATCAATAGATAAACAGACAGAGAAAGGAAGAAAGAGAAGATCACTAAGATAAACAGACAGAGAAAGAGAGAAAGAGAGATATCAATAGATAAACGAGAAGAGAGAAAGAGAGATCAATAGATAAACAACGAGACAGAGAGAGAGAGATCAATAATAAACAGACAGAGAAATAGAGAAAGAGAATCAATAGATAAACAGACAGAGACAGAGAGAAAGAGAGATCAACGATAACAGAACAGAGAAAGAGAGAAAGGAGATCAATAGATAAACAGAAGAAAGAAGAAAGAGATATCAACAGAGATAAAACCTAGACAAGAGAGAAGAGAGATCAATAGATAAACAAGAAAGAGAAGAAAGAGAGATCAATAGATAAACATAGAAAGAGACGAAAGGAGAGATCAACGATAAACAACAGGAAGAGAGAAAGAGAGATCATAGATAAACAGACAGCGAAAGAGAAAAAGAGAGATCAACATATCAACAACAGAAGAAAGAGATAAAGAGAGATCAACAATAAATCAAGACCGAGTAAAGAGAGAAAGAGAGATCAACAGATAACAGACAGGAAAGAGAGAACGAGAGAGCAACAGATAACAAGACAGAGAAAGAGAGAAAGAGATCGAACAGATCAACAGACAAGAAAAGAGCTCTCTCTCTAAATATATAGCAACAGGATTAAACAGAAGAGAAAGAGAAAAGAGATCAACAGATAAACATACACAAGAGAAAGAGAGAAAGATAGAGCACAAATAAAGGACAGAGAAAGATAGAAAGAGAGTCAACAGATAAACAGACAGAGAAGGTATAGAGAAATAGAGATCAACATATAAACAGACAGAGTACATAGAGAAAGAGAGATCAACATATAACAACAGAGAAAGAGAGAAAGAAGAGATCAACAGATAAACCGACAGAGAAGAAGAGAAAGACGAGATCAACCGATAAACCAGACAGAGAGAGAGAAAGAGAAGATCAATAGATAAACAGCAGACATAGAAAGAGAGAAAGAGAGATCAATAGATAAACAGACAGAGAAAGAGAAGAAAGAGGGAGAGTCAACCAGAATAAACAGACAGCGAAAGAGAGAAAGAGAGATCAACAGGATAACAACGACAGAGAGACCCGCAATTAATAAACATAACCCATCCCTTCATCTTTAAGGATGGACGCAATCTCAGGATCAGCAGGCCCAGATCTCAGCCCAAATTAAGCGTCTCGGGAAGAAATCTTTACAGCTTCCTCTCGTGTGTGAAGCAGAATAAGATCTTCTCTGTCCTTATCTCAGAGACGATAAAATCTCCTGCTACTACTTAACTTAAGGGGGGGGGAGGAGGGGGGGGGGGGCAGGGGGGGGGGGGGGGGGGGGGGGGGTGAGGTTGTATTACATGTTTAATGAATTTAGATGTTGTGTTGTTGTATAGATAAAGTCGAGCAGGCTCTCTGTTCGTAATTTTCATTGTCTTAAAAAAAAAAATCTTGTTTTTCTCTCTCTTCTTCTTCTTCTTCTTCTGAGAGAGAGACTGAGAGAGAGAGAGAGAAGAGATATGA